GATATCCATTAACTCCTTTAAATTATGGAGGTTTTACGTGGTTAATGTTAAATTCTTATTGTACCATTGTATTGTTTTTATGGTCTGTAATGTGATTTGAATATTCTCAACACATGTACTTGATGACACTGAAAGCTCATGTTAGAAATAGAAACTATCCTGAAGCTTCGATTGCTGAATGGTATATTGCAAACGAATCTATCGAATATTGTTCTAGATATTTCACTAGTGTCAACACAAGATTTAATAGAGTGCCTAGAAATTATGATGGAGAGGATCATGTGCAAATAGAAGATAGTCCAGTAATGAAAATACCCGATCGTTCCATTGGAAAAGTGAATGATGTCGAACTTGATCCTAAAACATGGATGCAAGCACATAGGTATGTGTTGTACAATTCAACAAAAGAGGTTCAAAAATTCATCTAGTAAGTAGCCTTTTTCTCTAGCATCTGTCCTTTTCATATGGGGTTGTCTTATATTTCTGCTAATCTAAAACTTATTTGATTGATAGAGAGCATCTAGACATAATTAAAGGAGGACATATAGGAAAAGGTCGCAAGAGAGATCGTTCTGCCCATGAAATTGAACAAACACATCACTCAAAGTTTGTAGATTGGTTCAAAAATAAAGTGAGGCCCACTTTTCTTCAACATTGATTTTGTGCATAGATAAAGTATTTATGTATGCGAAATGAATGCTTAATATGAAATCGACCTAACCACAATTTCTTTCAGGTATCTGAATTAGAAGCAAATCATGATCCTCTAGCTACTGATCATGTAAGATGGCTAGCTCGGGGCTCGTATAGAGTGGCAAGAAAATTCCATAGCTATATCACTAAAGGATTTAGATTTCGTACAAAAGCGCGTGAAAAAAGAAGAAAACACAGAACAATGGTGTTTTTGTGGTATCACAGACCTCACAGTTAGATGGTGATACAATTTATTATGGTCGGGTGGTTGATATATTGAGTTAAACTATTATGAAAGGTTAAAAGTAGTTTTATTCAAGTGTGAATGGGTCGATGTTGAAAAGGGAAAAGGCGTTATGAAAGATCGGTTCGGATACACATTAGTGAAATTTTCAAAGTTGGTTCACACAGGATCTCATGTGGCAGATGAGCCTTTTGTTTTTGCATATCAGGTTGAGCCTATATTCTATGTTGAAGACTCACAAAAACCAGGATTGTGTGTCGCTTTACGAACAAAACCTCGGGATACATATGACATGCGTGATGAAGTGGATCCTCACCAACCTCATATTGATATATCATATCGGTCAACTTCAACAGCAGACTTCCCTATTCGAGAAGAAGAAAATTGGAATCGCAAGGATGTTTCTAGTAGACGTCAAAAATAGCAATGTCCGAAGAATAATTATGAACTTGTGAGTTTTTTATGTTTTCCTTCTTCATTGATTATAGAAATGAGCTGATAATTAGTATGTCATATCTGGTTTCCTTTTTTCCTCTCCGATCTAGTTGGCTGCTGCTGGGACGTTTCTTTTCAAGGGTCTGCTCGATTGTGGCTTCAAATCTACAATGCAAGCCTCTCCGGTTTTGGTTTGTTGCTACTGGGTTGTTTTTTCCTTGCTTGGCTCCTCTCTGACCCTCTGAGACAGTCTGTTCCTTTTCATTCGTTGTTCTCTCCCTATAGTATTGCCTTCTTTGCTGTTGCTTGCAGTCGGGGCTGCTTGTCTCTTTTTTGTTTTTTCTTTCTGCATTTTCATGGTTGTTTATTTAATAAATGAGGACACCATTTCAAAAGAATAAAGTATTTTCAATTGGTTGGTTTTGACGAGAGAATGTGTCATCTGGTCTCTTGCTTTTTCTTTTGGTGGTTACTTCAAGATTTCCAACTGTTGACTTTTAGCTGAGTCTGGTTTCGGAACTTGTTTGTTTAGAATGAGTATTGCGATTAAGGATTACACTTTGCTAGGTTAGTAATTTTGTTAGTGCAAATGTTTTTGGTCAAAATGGTATCATTCGCTCATTCTCTGTCGTCCAACAATTATCATGCTCAATTTTTCTCTTAAGCCATAGTATATACAATTAGTTTACCACCATTTAGATATGAGCTTTCCACACCTCTTTTTGTAATATGGTTCTTTCCATTAGAAAGCTTTTTGCTGAATTAGACAAATATGTAAAGAGAAAGAACGTACTTTTTGCTGAATCATCTCGTAGACGGATCAACAGTGGCTCTTTGACTGATTGGTTACACGAAAATGGTTATTGGTGGTGTGAACTTGTGTTATAAAGAGTCATACGGAATCCAAATGAAAATGAAATTCATTTGTCCTAAATGATAGGATCACTTGTTTATTTCTTTCAATGTGACATGCATATGATATCTACAAGCAGATCCATACCGCAACCAATTAGATGGTGTGTGATCTTACTTCCCATTGTTTTTTAAGTCTGTTATCTGTTGTGGTAGTCTATTTTGATTCTGAATTAAGAAAAAGTGAGAATCTAAGCATATTTCAGTGTTGAGGAAGTAGAGGAAGTTTACAATTCTGGATTCTCTATACTCTAGAAGTTAAGAGACATCTTTCATCCCGTATAATATGCTCATCTAGGTTGTACTCTCTGGTTTGAACCTGGTCTGTTCCTTCTCTTGAGTTGATCTTTGAACTCTTTGGTGAAAATTAGTCCTTAATTAGTTCTCAGATGTAACTCGAGTGATCAGGTCCCTTGACTGTCTCTTCTCTGTGGTTGATCCGGATGTTCGTTTGGTTATCATGGTTTTGCATGGAGAGTGCTGGCTCCTCTGATCGGGTCGTCTTGTTGTTGTTGGCTCGTCTCTTTGCGGATCTGCTTTGTCCTATGTGGAGCTTTTGTTGTCGACTGTGGCATTTTGTTTTGTTTGCAGATGCTGGTTTTTTGTTTTTATGTTGTTTGTTGTTGTCCTGTTGATCCTTTCTTTAATTTGGGTATGACACCTTGTGATGCTCGTATGTACTTCAACTTGTGCACTTTTTTGTTTCCTTTTTCCTTGCCAATGCAGTTCACTTTTATAAAAGAAATAGCATGCACATCTCATTTAGTTATCCGTTCTTATTGCATTCTGAAACAAGTGCATGTTATTGCAGACTTGGGAGTGACATGTATGGCTCCACAAAGCAAACTTGTAGAGCAAACCAAGGGATTCTGGAGGACAGATCACACTAAAACAGACAACCAAGGTATGTTTTGCATCTGACTGACGAAAGTCACCGAACTAATTTTTTCCTCTTTGGCTCAAATTTTGTTTCGGTGGATTCTCTTGGCAATTTCATACGTCACTTCACTTGGTTGAAATAATCACAACATTGAGGATGCTTTCACAGAATGACGGAGACACGATGATGTTTTATTGGTTGGAAGATAATGTTTGTGAGGGACTTATTGGGATGAATGTATGCGAGTGTATGAAAATTAGATTTTGTTAATTTTTTTTTTGACGAAACCTGATTTCATTACGAAATAGGAAAATGATACAGAGTTGGACCATGTCCTGGAAAGATAGAAGACTAACCTAAACAAAAAGTTGAGCCCAACAAAGCCACATAAAATGAAAACCCACCTGCAAACAAAACCAGCAAAAAGGCACAAAAACATCCCAACAACCACGGCAAACCCAGCCCAAAAAACACAAAAAACAAAACACCATCCACCACAACCTAGCCCACCAAAAACCCTAGCCCAAAGAAACCAACACCACCAAACCACACCTAGCGTCCCCAAGCAGCAGCCAACCAACGATCATGGAAAACACATCCCCAACAAATCGCCGTCGCCACCCGCCGCAGACACCACACCGCAACCGCCGCAAGCAGCCGCACCACCGCCAAGAGGAAACGAGCACGAGCAGCCAACACAACGCGAAAAACAACAACACCGCCTCCGACGCCACCCAAACATCCGCCCACAAAACCCACGCCGCCACACCTGCCGCCACCACACCCACCATCGCCGCCATCGACACAAGAACCCCTCCAATCCAACGCCGAACAGAAAAAAACAGAGCATCAACAATTCGAAAAGGAGACAACATCCCTACACCAAACCACATGACAGTAGAACCAAGAGGCATCTAGCCAAACCACCGAATCACTACGCCATTTTGAGTGAAGCAAGGAGGACAGCTCTAAAAGTCACGAAGAAAGATGTAAATTGCAAAGCAATTCCCTCTGCACATCAAGAACGACCTCAAGATCTGACAACTCAGATCTGAAGTGTGGAAGAAACTCATCTTCAAGAGATAAGTTTATGGCAAAATCCACTTAGGGATAGCAAGCTAGAAATACAGAAATCCATAAAGGGAATGGCAAAGCATGAAAGAAAACCGGAAGAAGCAAAGGAGAGTGCAGGCGTGGGTAGCCGCCGATCACCAAGAAGTGAGTCGGCGGCCCCCCGAAAGGAGTTTGGAAAGGGGAAAGTTAGAGAGAGGTTGGAGATTTTCAAAAAAGAGAGAAAATCGGGTTGTCAAACTAATTTTCCTCAGATTTTGTTAATTGAAGTTGACTTTGCAGGCTGTTTTTGAAAATATTAGACGTACTTTTGTGACGGGTTTTACTTATATTCCAAGCTTGGATCTTTCTGACTCGTAGGTGTTTTGTGAATGGATAGCTACTGGTTTTATGTATTGCCAAGGCTTGAAATTTGTATTCTATGGTATACTGTACTACTACTTAATTAATTAAAGGAACCTATTTTCATGAGTTTGAGCAGGATGGAATTTCACATTCTCTAGACTAACTGCCACTTTATATCACCGCTGCTGGCTTTATCATTCTCTAGACTTGTATTGCGAAGTCTGAAAATTTCTCATTTTATGTATTAGATCAAACACAATTTTGGAAGAGAAACACAACATTATTATTTAAAATTGGAGCAAGTCAAGGTTACAAACTACCGTCTAATACAGAATACAAGCTCCATCTAAACACAAACACTACTAAACACAAACAACCATCTAATCAGAAACACTATCTAGCGGGATACATCTCTCACTACTATCTAATATCATTCAAATCTAAACCAAGTTTGCCTTCCACGCAATTCATTCGTTTCTTCAACTCTCTAATTGCTTCCTCAACATCAACACCATGCGAACCAAAGTTGTTAGCAATCGTGGAGGAGGATGGTTGGCTATCAACAACATCACGAAGTCGACTACGAAGCTTCTTGTTCTCTTCTTCAAGATCAACAAGTCGGATTCGCAGTTTGAGAACCCATTTTGAAAGTTCTTGCTCCCGGACTTCAATGGCATGAACATCACACCATTTGAAGTTATTAAGTTGAATGCCAAACAATTTGAAGCAATTCTCTAAGGTGAAAACATCAAGTTATTGACACTAGCCAATTCAAACAGAATTGAGAAAGGGAAAATAAAGAAATAACAAACCAAGGGCCTTACGGTCGGAATTCATTGAAGGCACATATGATGGTCGTGAACGCTTGTTGGTCCAATCTATAGGTCGAGCGTTTGAAGGAGCAGTTGCAACAGTTGGCTCCAATTCCCAAGCAGACACTCGATCTGGAAGCCAACTTGAACTCGGTCCATCCCATTCCACCTTTTGAGAACAGCACAAGCAAAACATTGAGAAAAGGATTAGGCTTTTGAGTTCTGTTTCGTTAAAACTAAGAACCAAGATCAAGAAACCCAAAAATGATACCTCGTACAGCCTTCAATTTGTCAAAAGATAAAATGACAAAAGGAAGGCTCATTACCTTAAAGGATCTCCATTCAGAACAATTCCACTGTGGCGACAAGTTTTCCCCCACACCGACAATTGTGCCATTAAACCTATAGTTTATTTAACAAGGAAAATACATTACAAGTACAAGTAGTTGGAACACAAATTCTATCCAACAAACTTCAAGAGATTAGACCTTTGCTCTATAACTTCCTCATACTCAAATCTCATCGCAACTCTCATTCCAATGGATAGATGGTGGTTTCGAGCTTCGAGATACTTATTAACCCTTGCAATGAACTCAAACCAACTTGGCCTACAAACGAAATATTGATTCCCCTCACTTCTAATTCTAGGAGAATGAAAATGAAATCAACAAGAGGAAATGCAAGTAGGCAAGGGGACGATTGGATCACATGTTGTGATAACGAACTGAGCATTGCTATGCCCTTTAATGAATCGATTGTTGTGTCATAGGCACCAAGGATGGGCCTCGTGCACCTAGCACCTTTAATGACTATATATATGTTCCAGTATTAATTATGGAGATGTAATACCAAGTGAAAGCATAATAAAAGGAGACAGTTAAATAGAGAGATAGTTCCCATCAATAAGAAAGCACCCACAAGTCATGGAAGCTAAGATTGAGCTACAGAAAGAAGATATAGTATTTCCAGGTCATATAAGCCATGTGATTATACATCATATGATTTACGCAGTCACAGTACAAACAAATTCCACAAACATTATGACCAAGTAAGTTATGGTTTTTTGTAGAGAGGCTCAAACCAAAACCTGAAAATTAAACCTGCATCTCAGGCATAAAAACTAATGCATCAACTGCACAAGTTGCTAGATAATGAAGCAAAATGCACGAACCTAGGCTTGTAGAGGACGGAAAATAGAGTTCCATTTGCAATCGCATGAGCAGCTGTGGCAAGAATTCCCATATGCGTACTTTGCCTCGATATAACAAAAGGTAGCCTGTTTGGCTATTGATTCATATACCTCCTAAACCCCACATGAAACTCCCCACTTTCTCCCCTTCAAATTCATATAAAAGAAAAAAAATCCAACAATGTTAGACCCAATTCCGATGAAATCGAAGACAAGATTATCATGAACAATGAAATTACGTACTTTAAGAAGATGAAGGCATCGCCTGCCACTAATCTTTTTGCCCGAGCAAATACACTCCACCCATTCATCAAATGACGCCTGGGTCAACCTATCACAATATTTTAATGCTCATATTAGCACCACAACCAGTTTCCAAATAAACATCACACAAGTAGGTAGATGAATATAAAATATATAATTCCCAGGGCAGTATTACACATAAAAGAAGCTAAGATAATCCCCATTCGTAGCACATAACTGAAATTGATATTCGGGAGTACAGTCTAATGGGAAAATTGTGGATCTTTAAAGACAACACAAGCCATAGCGGAGTTCACAACTAGTCTTTATAACTCCCAAACTAACTCACCTCGATAAATGTGACAGAATTGCACTCACTGTCATAAAGATCTCTGGCAACCAAAACCTAGGAAGGGGACGGCTGGGACATATCCTGGTTCAGGGTTGGTAAATAATACAGTTAGTACCAGATAGTTTATGCATATAATATAATAAGAATTGTAATGAAAATTTTCCAGATACGAACCAACGGAGGTAGACAATCATCTGCATATTTTCGAGGAATAGAGAACCCTCCATGGGAACTAGCGTCAGAATGTGTAATTATCTTGGAAAAGGAATGGACTTTAAAAACCGGAGGTTCAGGTGGGAGAGTATCAAGGCTAGTTAACTCATCAGGTTGATCCGACTTTGGAAGCAAATCAATTTGAGCATAAACTTCATCCGTTTCAGGTTCAACCATGCGGCACACAGAAACAACTTTACACAGGATCTTAGAGGTTGTTTGGAAGTTGCGATTGTTAAATTGATGTATTGTTGAGAATGCATGTATAATATTATACATGTATTGTCAAATTTGATGCATTGTAGAATACAACGTTTGGTATGTGTGATTGTGTATGTCGCATCAGCTAAAAGTTGAGACAAAACAATCTCAACTCAACTATCTCAACAATCACAACTAAAAATTGAGATATAACAATCACTCAAAATGAGTGATAGTTTCTGTCACATCACGGAAACAATTCATGTATTGTTTCTGCTAAAAAAACAAAAAATCGATGCATTGTAAACAATACATGCATAATGACAATCTCAACAAAATAATCGCAACTTCCAAACGACCCTTTAGATGGAAGTTGGAATTGATGAGGCACTTGATGTTCTAAACCCTCTGGAACTTGAAGTTGCTCCATGTGGCCTTGTGGGAAATAGTACACTCTTTCGCATTCCCCGGGAAGGGTAACAAGAGGTCCAACACATGCATACCAAAGCTCTTTCCAAAAAGCATCATTACATACTCCTACAGTAAAAAGGCATCAGCTAGCATACTATTGCATGACGGTACAACAAGTAGGACACTTACAATCATGACAGTGTAACCCTTTTTCCTCGTTTAAATTTAGCCTGACTATTGCATGAATATAAAGCAAAAAAGATATTAACCGTGGCAATTAGTCATTTCTCTCTAATAAACTATGCCTATCTGCATAGTCCTGGCAAAGAGATTATTGCGACAAGGTTGTTTTCCTCATGGGAGCAATTGAAACTAAAAGTGTTATGGAATAGGATTAGCCATCCAGTAGTTCTACTACCTAGTCACATTTGAACTTCATTGGTAACACCAAATTCAGAAAAACTATCAAAGACTGACGAATAAAGCTACAATAAGAAGTAGATGCCTGGATGGGGTTGCCCTCATGATGAATGATTCGTAGGCGCGCGTGTCATCACTCGATAAATAAGACGAAATTCCCCGCAAGTACCAGTTCAATCTGCAGATATGGTCACAATTAGAGTCAGACATCTATCAAGAAACCTCCTTAATAACTCACTCGTCATGTATCACTAGAGAAAATAAATTTGGTAGAGTTCCCACTAATTGATGCAGGAGTAGAATAAGTTTGGTAGAGCAGTATTGGGACAGAAACAGAGGACTACAGAGTTTGCCTAAACTTTGCATGCCAGAGTCCAAACCAAAGCAAGGAACTTACGGATAGCCAATTGACGCAAGTTGGAAGATGATTGTAGGGAGAACCCAGTACGGTGAAGAAAACTTGAAAGGAAGGATTGGCTTCGGGAACTGGTGGAGGGCGCCCCTTGCTAGGGAAAATCCAAATATAGTGGCGAACTTTTGCTGTGTAAAGCGCCGACGCCACAATGCACAACCAACCTTATTATTTGTTTCTTTATGGGAGAAGGAAGGTGCAGAGTTTTGGCCTTGGGAAGGTTTTTTTATGCCAGAAAGGGTAAGAATTGAGGATTTTGGTTGTGGATGGAGAAATTATAAGGGAACTGGACTTTTCTTTATTTGATGGGCCTGCTTATAATTCTCTTAATTAGTTTTGTTGGCCAGCCGGCCCATATAGTCTAGTCACATTGAAACCCGCGTGCCTATAGAGTCTAGTCACATTGAAAAAAATGCCACCAAAGTAAAAAAAATTTGGTTTTCTTGATTCGTATCAATCCAGAAAGAAGACAAGTGATCCCCAACGGACATATGCAGAAGGCGCGAGCTTGATGTTTGAAGAAGAAACGAACCAGGCAGAAACGAAACGTTTCTGCCTTCCCCTCCATCTGATGTTTCAATGAATGCCGAAGCGACGTCGTGGAGGTTTCTCAGTGTAACGTTGGGTGGAGCTACGAAGGCCAATCACACAAAGAAAAGTGGCGCGTTTTATTTACTGTATTTCGAATTTCTGTTTTAACAGACTGTTTCCATTTTTACTGTTGTGCACTTTACCTTTCACTTTGGTATAAATACAAAGCAGCAGAGGAGAACCACTACTTGCGGGTTCCCTCAATTTGTGCCACCTCTATCTTCTTCTTCTTATCCTTTCTAACCCTACAAACCCTAAGCTCATTGAACTTTTTCATATGGTATCAGAGCTGGAACAGATCCAGTGATTTGCAATGGCGAATACACCTCGCCCAGGTACTCCTGGTGGTACTCCACTCAACCACGGAGCAATTCCTTTTGCCAGCTTCGACGCTCAGTCTAGTGGAGGCAACAACAGCACCGGGATGACCAACAACAACAATGGACGAGCAGATCTTCAGTTTGGTAATCCCTTTTACATAAACCCAAATGAGAACATCTCGCAGTTGATTGTTTCTGAAAATCTGGATGGTTCAAACTATCAAATGTGGCAACAAGCAATTCGTATGGCTTTGAAGACTAAGCACAAGATAGGATTCATTGATGGTACGATTGTCATGCCAACTACTGACGATCCCAATTTTGGTTTATGGGATGCTTCGAATACTTTGGTTTTATGCTGGATTCTTAATCCGATTGAAAAGGAAATTAGAAGAAGTCTTATGCAGCATGAGAATGCCCAGGTTCTCTTGAAAGAGTTGAAAAGGAGGTTTGGACTTCCAAATGCCATTAAGTTGGCTAATCTGCAGGATCAGATCATTGCTTGTAAGCAAGGGGTCCTTGAACATCACACAGTATTACACAACATTTAAGGGTCTATGGGAAGAGAATTTGCAGTTCAACCCTATTGTCGAGTGTGATTGTGTAGCACAACGCACCCGACCCTGTGCAGATGCGGAAGCTTTTAAACAGAAGGAGGAAGTGGAGTATCTCGTCCGCTTTCTGAAAGGGTTAAGACCTGAATATGAGATTGTCCACACGCAGTTGCTGATGATGAAGCCACTTCCTACAGTGGACAGTGTTGTAAATGATTTATTGCAGCATGAACAAAGATCAAAGGAGACAAGGCTAGAGGGACTAAGGGAGTTCAAACTGTAGCACTTGCTGTTACAGGGAATTCAAGTAATCAACAGAAGGGTATGGATACTTCAGATGGAAAGAAGTTTAGCAGGTACTGCAAGAAAGAAAATCATACCATTGATGAATGTTACAGTCTCAAACGTAAGAAGGCTAGGATGGCAGAAGGAAATGTGGCTGCAGCTATTTCTCAAAGTGACTCCTCTACTGACAGTGACTCTGCTAGTTCAGAAACTAAACTCAGCATTGACACCAGATCTCCCAGTGGCAGTTTTGGATTATCTTCTGAGGAGTTAAACAAGTTGAAGTTCCTCCTGAATTCAGTCTCATCTTCACCAAGCCCATCTCCACCAGCCTCTCCCTCCATTATTCATCATGCTTTTTCAGTTGCTCAGCACATTCCTCATTTTCCCAACTATGCTGGTAAATACATTCTTTCTTCTTATCTTCCACAACAGTCTAATGGGTTGCTTGGTATATGGATACTCGACACTGGTGCCTCTGACCATATAGCCTGCAACCTTGAGTCTTTCTTTGAATCCACCCCAGTTCTGAACCAGTTTGTGTTTTTGCCTAATGGAACTAAGGTTGCTGTGAGTCATATAGGGAGAGTCAAACTGCCTTCAGGACTAGTACTTGATAATGTCCTTCTTGTGCCCAGTTTCTCATTCAACCTAGTTTCTGTGAGTAAACTTACAAATGACTTACCAATCTCCTTACACTTTGAATCTGACTCTTGCCAAATTCAGGACCTAATGACCCTCAACAGGATTGGTTTGGCAAAGCAGATTAGAGGCCTCTATCAACTAAACTTCAAGACTTCCCCATCTTCCTCACCACCTCAATCACAACCTCAGGCAGCAGCCATCTACAACTTCTCCCCTCAAACCTTTGACCTGTGGCACTAGAGACTTGGACATGTTCATAGAGAGAAGGAAAAACTATTAGTACCATGTAATAGGGCTTCTAGCTTACACTGTGAAACTGGTCATTTTGCCAAACATAAAAGGCTTCCTTTCCCTGTTAGTTCTTCTCGTGCACAGGATGCTTTTTCTCTTATTCATGTGGACATCTGGGGTCCATTGGCTGTTAAATCACATGATCGTTACTCCTATTTCCTAACAATTGTTGATGATTACTCAAGAGGTGTTTGGACCTACTTAATGAAGTACAAATTAGAAGCTAGTAAACTGTTAGAATCATTCTGTGTAATGGTGTCTAAGCAGTTTTCAAAACATGTCAAAGTTGTTAGGAGTGATCAGGGAGGTGAGTTTCATATGGCAGAATTCTATGCTGCTAATGGGATTGAGCATCAACTCTCTTGTGTTGAAACCCCTGAACAGAATGCCAGGGTTGAAAGGAAATATCAGCATATCCTGAATGTTGCTAGATTATTGAGGTTCAAATCAGGAGTCCCCTTCAATTCTGGAGTGATTGTGTGTTGCATGCTGTGTATCTCATTAACAGAATCCCCACTTCTGCCCTTAACAACACTTCACCTTATGAACTTCTCTATCACAAACCACCTAGCCTCTCTGGATTAAGAGTTTTTGGTTGTTTGTGCTATGCTGCCACCTTGCATAGGGATAGGACCAAGTTTGATTCTCGTGCAAGGCAGTGCATTTTTCTTGGCTTCCCTTCTAGAATTAAAGGTTTCAAGCTTTATGATCTTAATTCCCACAGTTTCTTTGTCTCTAGAGATGTTACATTCTATGAGACCATTCTACCATTTCACATTTCTTCCTCCTCTTCTACTACTCCTACTCTCCTTCCAGATCCCATTCATCCTGTCTTACCACCTATACCTACATATAGCCCTCCCTGTACTTCTAATCCTGCTCCA